TTAGGATCAAACATAGGTTCTATCACCAGTTCAGCCATTCATTAATTATATGGTCTTGGACAAAATTATTTAAGTTCTCTGAAGATCGGTTACCATATCTGTGAAATGGAGATGCTACTGTGCAAATTAGAGATAACATCTATAAAGCATTTATTACAACTGTCTGCCTTTAATGAGTATTAAGAAAATATTATCTTCCTTTCCTCCCCCAAAAGAAAGATAACAATTGTGACTTTATTAATAATTTTGCTATTATAGTTAGATTGCAAAGGGTTTATGAAGGGTAAATGCCCCATTCCAGATATGTATAGTTTGTACAGTAATTAAATAATATTTGTAAGGATTCCTGGGTGGCTTGGTCAGTTAAGCATCCGACTGCGGCTAAGGTCATCAGCTTAGGTCATCATTTCGTGTTTCGTGGGTTCAAGTCCCTCATCCCGCTCAGGGCCTGTAACCTGCTTCAGATTCTGTGTCTCCCTCTCTCGTTGCCCCTCCCCCACTAGCACTGTCTCTCTCTCTCTCTCTCATAAATAAGTAAACATTAATAGTAATATTTGTAGTTTTATTTTACCTTTATAGTTAGTAATATAACAACATGTTCCATCCACTTTTTCTGTTGGAATTGCACTGTATATATCTGCATCTAATGCCTTGTGGCTTAAAGTTTCAGTTGCCAAAACTTTAAATGGCTTAAAAAAGAAAGAAAGAAAACTGGTGTAAGATCAATAGCCTCTACACTTTCACACATATTCCCACCTGAAATGTTCTTAATTTCACTATTTCTGAAGTATAACCTCCTGCTTACCCTTGAAGACAATTTAAAAACATTTCATCTGTGAAATTCTCATGAATCACCCCTTCCCTTCTATCAGAGCAATACTTGTTTTCCCACACAGATTTGTAACTATTCATGTTTCTTTATCCACCATAATGAGCTGACTGACACCAGGAATCTAGTGTCCTCAACACCAGGAAATACAGAGGTTAATTTAAAAAGTGCCTGCCTCTGGCAGAACTTTCATTTTAATCAGTGGGAAAATAGTAACAAAATGTGCAATACAATGTTAGGTATAATTAATGCTAAGGAGAAAAATAAATGACTCTTTCAGCTTTAACAGTAGTAAATTGCATAATATACAGTTTTTCTACTGTCAGAAAGAGACGCCAAGACCAACTAGAACGGAGGAAAAGACAGTTTCTGCAATTCCTACGAACTTTTTATCTGTAATTTATTTTTATTCCTGTGAAAAATTTATGCCACCATTTTACAGTATAAGTGACCTGAAGTTACACTCATCTTAAATAATGGAAAAATACTGCACAATACTGGTGTGTACAGGTTTAAAATTATTATGTGGAAGTACTATTTCAGAGTTAAGCAGACTTAGGAAATTAGCACCATTCTGTTACTGGCTCAGTACTTTTAAGATGAAATAACGACTGGGGATTTATCACTAACTTCTGCAAGTGGGATCAGAGGATATCAGTCTAACCTGCGGTGGTAGAAGAGATGTGGTTTGGCCCAACAGCAATGTTTGTGTGTATTCAAATTTACCAAGTATCCTATGGAGATTACTCTGCTGATAGAGTTCTTGATGAGCCCAAATACTGCTTTCATAAGAATAAATTTTCAACCACTCTGTGCTAGCAACATGTCCAAAAGTCAATATAAGATAACAAAGGGTATACAAAGTTCCCCGTCTCGTTGAAGACTTTAAACTGTGACTGGAAAAACAAGGCATGTATGTTTGAAAAGTCATAGTGAATATCAACGGAGTGGTCCTCTACAATTCTGGGTAGAGGAAATCACTGGGATAACTAAGTTGATCCACGATTTCAGAGAAGGTCTGATTTTGAAAATCCTGCAAGTGATCCAGGCGGAGTGCACAGCCTGAGCAAAAATAAAGACAGGCCTGCGCCTGGAGCGTTCACAGGATGCAACAGGCTTTATTCCAACAGAGACTTCCTTTAAGTAGGCAACTCCGTCACAAACACACATGGCATTTTCTGCTGCACTGAGCCCAGGCACCTCATGGTAGATCCAAAAGACACTTGAAGAGTAGAATGAACCTGATTAATGGGAAGCCTTGATTTATAGCTAAGGATCTGGATACTTACTACGCTGTAAATAACAACATAAGCTAATCTTAACTACATGGGACATGAACAGGGGCTTATTTTTCCTGGTGGAGGGTCCTTTTACAAACTGCCCGCTTCCACCCCCAACATACAAAGTTGAGAATTACAGCTAGAGTGAACCACTACTTGGGATGCCAATATTTCATATTAAGTTTGTTATGGCTAAAAAAATAAAGGGTTGGCAACTACTACAAACATTTAGTAGTTAATTGTGGGGTTTTGACTAGGAAAGACCCTAACAATAATCATTCTGGGTGTCAAGAAAACGATTAGGCAGTGCAGGAAACTGCGCATAAACTACTAAGAACTATAACAGCAATGGCACTAGAAAGGATGTTATAAGGTAAAAAAGTGTCAGAGGTGAATGGAAAATTGGAACAAAAAGGCTCTAGGGTTCATTCTTTAATTCAACATATATTCACCCAGTGCCTATCACATGTCAGGTCCTAAAAACTGGGACTAGAAACAAGGCAGTTTCAAAACAAGAACACCTGTGCAAATGATACAAGGGGGTGGGGCCTATGCCAAAGGCACATGATGAATTTTGTATGAATCCAAAGGACTCAATTCCTGGGGATTCTGCTATCAAAGATTTTGCTACATATTAAAGAAATTACCCTGATACTGGCTATTAATCATTCACCAGTACTTGGTAAGGTCTTCCGATATGTAAAACCCGGTGCTGAGAGAAACAACCAGAGATGGGAATACTAATTCGAATCAAGCAGGTAATTACTGGCAACAATACGCGAGGTCTGATCTCAAGTGACCTAATTAGGCTAGTTCTCAACACCACCATAGGTTCCTAGGTTAGAAGTGGCAAAGCAAGTCTTCTAAAATCTCCACTCTGTCACCACATTCTTGAAAAGCAGTAAAGCTTGGACTGCGGTGATTATGTGAATACTTAAAGGGTCTTTCCCCAAAGGGTGGTAACCTAAGAAAGGAAGACTATTTAAGATGTGGGTTTTCAATTCCCATGCGACGGCAAGTTTGAATTGCCTCATCAGAAAACTTCTCTCGAAGATTCCCTCCCTTGCAACTAACAAGGTACAAAGAAGCTGGAGCTCAGGGAGTAGAGACCCCCCGTCTCCTAGACTTCCCCGGCGAAACCTGCAAAAAAGCTCCCGGCTTGCAGGGCGGCTCTCATGCGTCCGGCGGCCCCAGTGCAGGCGCTCCACGGCGGCCGCACACCTCGGTACCTGATGCTCCCTTTTGGTGGAAGGCTCCTCTTTCACCTCCGTCACAAATACACACGGCATTTTCCGCTGCACCGAACCTAGGCGCCTCATGGTAGACCCAACAGGCAGTGCAAATGCTGAGCGCTTTTCCAAAACAGCTCCCCGACCAAGAGACCCAGCCTTGCAAACAGACGCGGGGCTCACGCCACGCACACTGCGCGCCCAAGCACGGCGGTAACGCCCCTACGTCTCCCAACACCGAGCGTGGGGCGGGGACGCGCGCGTGGAAGCGGCCTCCTGACCGCGGTGTCTTCTGGGAGTTGTAGTGCGGAAACCGAGGTACCCCCCCACACACCCCCCCCCCCCCACCCGCGTGTGCACTCCCGCGAGAGTAGGTCCGGGTTGTATTGGCCCTAAAACAAGAGGTTCGTTTCTGCGTTGTGTGTACTTCACACTTAGTAATAACTGATGATATTTATGAAAATTAAATAATATCAAGTTATAAGTAAAGACTCATTTCAGATGGCGATTGAACACCATTCTGGTGAAAGCTAACTGCCTGTTTTCTTCAATAAGTTCCTCGGGCAAGCACTATAGAAGTTTAGAAATATCCAAAGACATTTCAAGGCCTATTGGAAACAGATTTCCCAGGAGGAGTGCTAGAAAGCGTTGAAGTTAAAATACCTGGGAACCCACCCCTCATAGTAACACCGTTTGGATTACGCCTTATCGTGCAACATCATATAGTCGAAACTGGTTCCGATGTTCCTTCCTGAGTGCAAAGTTTAGCCTTAAACTAATCCAAAACCCGATTTCTATCTCAATTTTTTTCATAGGAATCTCATTTATCTTATATATGCGCTCCAAAAAAGTCCAAATGACTTGACTTCTTGGAGTCAATCACCTGCAGAGCTAAAAACAGCTTTATTTGACTTAGTGCTTAAAAGAATATTGGAGGGTAAGTGATAAGTAAATGATTGAATAAAATATTACATATTTAGTAATAGAAGCTTTTCTATCTTATTGAGGATAGTAGTCTTCAGCAGGGGAGTTCTGACTACTGCCATTTTTGTGTACTTGAACAAGACTCCGGTCTCATTTCTATAGTTGTGTTATCGCAAGTACCATAAAATACAGCATTTTCCTGACTTAGCCCTTGGAAAAAGTATCTATATATAAAAGAGGATTTCCAAAGAATAAAATATGTCGTTCCCCCCACCCACCCCCACCAAAAGCACTATTTTATGATTACTGGATTCACAGAGGAAGAGAAGAAATTTGCCATTTCAAAGTATTTACTTTCTCTTCTGCTATCCTTTTCTCCCTAAGAAAACACGTAATGGCCATATATATAAGAGATAAGGGACAGGGCGAATAGAACACCTAATGCTGGCTGTGAGCTATTGGGACCAGACAGTATTTTATAGTCAAGCACCAGTGATTTTCTGCTCTTCCAGAGGAATCCTAACAAGCAGCTTGTTTCATGGGTCTCAAGGGAACAACAATTAAATAACCCTCACAACTATCAACTGTCATTTCCCAAACTGCCACAGAATCTTCTATATCCAACATTCTATCATTTCTGGGAAGGGATCATCTTCTAAAACATTCTACTTGCTGTTTGAATAGTACCAGCAAGGCTAACCACTCCTCAGGAAGCACTCTATTTCTAGTGCTTTGATTTCATCAGTGCCTGGAGCAAAGCCTTTGGCTGAGACCAAGGAGCCCAATTAGGGGAGAGCCACAGTTCCAATTCACAGTTATAAATGGGGCTCCTATTCTAATGGGTAGCAGCCAACAGTTTTGCCTCCTTCTCATAAACGTGAAGAGCCAGCACGGAGTTACTACCAGCCCCTATACTTAGAGTGGTGGTATTGGATCACAAACTGGAAGAAAGACTTTCTTCTCTGACTGATGTATTAGTGTTCTAACATGCACCAAAGATGAAAGACACTCAATGTGAGTCCACTTTGGCCAACACAAAATACTTAGCGAATTTTCAGGCGTACTCCCAGTGGTGGAGACAAATTTCCCATTGCTCTTCATGACAGGGAGTAAAAATCCTCTTGAGTGAGGTCACAGCTTTTCCTAAAAGACTAGAATGAATTTCACATCAGGAAAGAAGTGAATAAGGTGTAAAAGAGAAAGAAAAAGAAAAGAGAGTTTTGTTAAAAAAAAAAAAAAGAAATTAAAGCTCCATGCTAAAGACTACCAAAATGTACAGATCTATTTACTGTTCTTTGCAATAACAAAACAAAACAAAAATCCCCATAATGGCTTGACCTGTTTTTACTGTGTCTAATGGAATGTAATTGTTCCCAACAAACTCTAAAAGGTAAAAACCTTTTTTTATCCTTTCCCCTGTGTTAACCATGATGTTGCATGTAATCATGCAATAATGGTGTTTGGTAATAGTATTTGGAAATAATTCAGGCAGGTAAAAGCTCATAGGCAGAGAGGGAGTTTATCTGGAAGTAAAGACCACTTAAAGATATTTCTTAGGGGTGTTGTTCTCAGTTAACTTAGTGCTGAAAATGAGCACTTTGTTATTCTAGATTTAGAAGATAGAGCAAAACAGAAAGCAATATATTAAGGTTTTTTTTTTATCTTTGCTAATATTTTCAAGAGTTTAGCCAAATCTTTATTCTCTACTTCCTCACTTACTTTTAATACTACCCATTTTTTTTTTTACTTTTCTCTTATTTACAGTTATAGGCAAATATCTCTTTTCTAAATTTTAGTTTCTTATTTTATTTTCTAGATTTTTACCTTAAAGTATTATATTCAGAGAGTTCATACTACTTAGTCTGTTTTACTTAACTAAAATGGAATCCATATGTTTTTTTCTTAATTTCCAAATCAAAGTACATTGCATTTTAAAAATACATTTTGATCTACTGTACTCTGTCATCTCTATGGCATCTTCTAAGTCACATACTATGAACCATTTTATTAAATTTTGTAGGTTTTAGTTCTTTTGGTAAAAACACTAAGATGAAGAAAGACCTCTAACTGCTGATTGAAATGTCTCATTCTGGGAATCAGAGTATTTTATCTTGTCTTCAACAAATTCTCAAAATTTACAGACACTCTGGAACCTTTTCTGCTATAGGAAGAAGTTATTACTCCTTTTATGATGGATGAAAAATGAATGAACATAGCTACACGATGAATAAATAGTCCAATTTATACCCAGGTACCTATTAAAATAACACAATCTGAATGATTTTTTTCCCAATTCATTGGATAGCAGTGAGTACATATTTAAATAATTTTATTTATTATCCTGGAGTATAGATAGTATATTTACATATTTAATAATTTTAGGTTTTTTAAAATCATATATAGCAATTAGAGTTTAGAAAACAGCTATTTACTTGTGAAATACTTAAGAGTTTTTATTATAAAATTATGAACTAGTTTATGTCCCATATTCAGTCAGAACATTAAAAGATAAAATACTTTATTTTTACTAGCCTATTTGGCTAATATACTAGAATTGAGAAAGAAAGACCATACAGAATTCACTAAGGTAGGCTAGCCTACAGTTACATGTGAGGTCATTTGTGATGAGCAAACAATGGATTAGGTAACAATGAGGAAAATTCTGGAAGTTTGAGTTTGTGTGCTTACTAGCAACCACTTTCAACATTTCTGCAAAGCTAGAGAAGGTATCTTCTAATTTAAATTTCTTTAAGAATTATCTATTGTGTAATATACTGTCAACAGGAGGTCAGTTTTAAAGGAATACTACTGATAGCCTGAAAGACTGTGGAAAAGAAATTTTTTCCCCCTTACACACTGATAGTTCTTATATTTGCATTCCTGCAATTCTTATATTTAAAACATTGGATTAGCAGCAAGAGAGTTGAAAATGGCAGAAGTTGGGAATGACTGCTATTTCTTTTTTAATTCCACATGCATAAAGGTAAATATCGTACAATTTACGGTACTTCACATGCTTAAATAAGCTTTTTAGTAGAATGAAGGAAGATATGGCAATAATTTGTATTGCTGTGTCAAAATTTATTATTTTCCTGCAAAATATTTTACATATTTTCTATCTGAAGTAAGAGCTTATCAGTTATTTTTAATATATTGAATTTCTTTAAGGAAATTAAAATTATTATTTGTTTACAATTACATATTGTAATTGCCAGTTAAATGCCTATGGATTTTTTTGTCATCATGTGGCACTTTTACCTACATTACAGTTCCTTGAGACATCAAATTTTTAATACTGAAACATACTGAAACATTGTATGATATATCATATTGTTATGGTTAATGTGATTCCAATCACATAAATTCAAAAAGTTAAATTCAGCTTACTATCAAGCTTAGTTTAATAAATCTAATTGATTTCCTAGTTGACATTTATTAACTCAATTACTGAAGTTTTCCCTGTCAATATTTAACAGCAAATATATGATAATGTAAAAAAATGAAAAGAAGTAATATAAACAAATTAGCCAAATATGAATTCAAGATTTTAAGGCTAAAGGAGAAAAACATTTAAGAGACTAGAATTAATGGATTGCAATGAACTAAATAAATGTAGAAACTTGAAGCTTCATGTTCATGCCAAAATGAAAGACACAATGTATCTGATTATAAAGTGTTTCATCTCTGCTAGGAAACCTGAATGGGTTCAACCTCTTTGACCATAAGAATTAAATCCACTTCAAGTGCCTGTCCCCTTATGATTAAACCTAGAGATGATAAATAATAATAGAATTTATATTCCATATGAGCAGATAGTTTTGTCTGTTTCACTGCTGTATCCTCAAGAACTTAGCACAGTGACTGAAAGGTGGTAAAATCTCAATAAATAATTAAATTAATACATAATAATAATAGCAACCACAATACCTTCCTCACATGACTTTTACAATCCATTAAGAGGGCATTTTATTCCTTTTATACAGATAAGGAAACTGAGGCACAGAGAGAATTAGTAATGTATTAACTTTGTAACTGTGGACAAGTAATGGAACCAAGAGTTCAAATACTGGTTTATCTTGCCCCTGTCTACTATCCTGTACTACAAGAGCCACAAATCCACTTTTAAAAGGGGGAAATAGTGAGGTCAGGAGTAAGAAGGTGATAGAAGATAGGAAAAAAACATGGAACGTGTCAAAAGAGAATTCAATGGAATATTTTTGTTGTATGTTATGCACCTCTCTATCAAGAAGACAATGGCTTGCAGTTTTTCCAACTGTGCACCTGTGTGTAAAAGATACAGACTTTAAAAAAAAGTAATAGCATCCCATGAAATGATCCACATTTGCTTTTGTTGGTATATAAAGATGTTGGTGTGTATATGTATATTGGCACAATTGTTTATCTTTGTAGACCAAGGGCATAAAGCGTAGAGATTTAATATAGCATAATGTGGTAATTACTTAAAATTCTACAATAATAATTGGGGCGCCTGGGTGGCTTAGTCGGTTAAGCGTCCGACTTTCGCTCAGGTCATGATCTCACGGTTCGTGGGTTCGAGCCCGGCGTCGGGCTCTGTGCTGACTGCCAGCTCAGAGCCTGGAGCCTGTTTCAGTCTGTGACTCCCTCTCTCTCTGACCCTCCCCTGCTCACGCTGTCTCTCTCTCTCTCTCTCTCTCCTAGAAATAAATAACACATTAAAAAAATTCTACAATAATATAAAGTTTAAGGTCTATTCACTTTCCTTATGGAAACACACTTAACAGTGACTCCATAGACTAAGAAAACATTATCTAATAAAGGGATTGATTAATAGAGATCATCTCCACAATTAGAATATGACTGGTGATTCTTTTTTTTTTAAATATTTTTATTTATTTCTAGGAGAGAGAGAGAGAGACAGCGTGAGCAGGGGAGGGTCAGAGAGAGAGGGAGACACAGACTCTGAAATAGGCTCCAGGCTCTGAGCTGGCAGTCAGCACAGAGCCTGACACGGGGCTCGAACCCACGAACCGCGAGATCATGACCTAAGCGAAAGTTGGACGCTCAACCGACTAAGCCACCCAGGTGCCCCAGACTGGTGATTCTTAACAATACAAAACAAAGAAACTGTCTTTTCACAGAAAGAGAAAATTAAATTGTTTTGTCATTGGATTGTGATTAAGAATATCACTGTTTTCATATATCTATTCTTAGTGAATCATATGGACTAACTGATAACAAATAACAAAAAGTAGCAATTTATCAGTGACTTGTGGCATGGTGTACTATTTAATCATTGTGTTGTCAGTCTCTCACTAAAATTAAACACATTTGCTATAACTAAGACTTATGACCTTATTTTGTAGCGTTTTTTTGTGATTCTAATTTGATCTAGTCATATTTTCTTTAATTAATTAGCAAGCTACTGTTGTTGAACACTAATGCTAGTATTTTGAGTTTTCTATACTGTTTACTTGTTTCTTTTAGGGTTCCCAGTGCCGATTCCGACACTGTGAAGAGGCCCTTGGCAGTGACACTGTGTGCTCATTATGGAGAGAGGGAAAATGTTTAGATCCACTTTGCAGATTTAGACACATGGAAATGCAGGTAGAATTATTCACCATCATCATGTTTATTTAAAGGATCTCCCTTCAATAATATTGAAATGTACACTCTTATAACACAATAGAGAAAAAAATGGTTCTTTCTTCCACTACTTAATTTTAGGCATTTTGCATGTTACTCAACTTAAATTCTTAGGAGTATATTTTAGAAATATCCATTGCATCTTTTAGATAGCATAGTTTAGAAACACTGAAAGCCAGAAAACATGTCTGATCCTAAATCCGTAATTGCGATAGTTTTGTCACATGTAGCGCATTGTATTTATTTTGAATATGGCATCTAATCAATACATTTCCCCCACCTCCTTTGTCTAGCAAAACTGCAGCATTTCATGCTTCTGGGAAACACAACCACTTGGTTGTGTGAAGATCAGTTGTATCTTTTATCACAGCAAACCTCGAAATATAAATGGATTATTTTTGCCACCAAGTAGCAGTGAGTATATTTTTTGAATAACGTGGACATATACCATATTATAATCTAGTTTTGGAATAGCAGCATAGAATGACATGTAAAATTAAGTATGGCAAAATGAATGTGATTTAATAGTCAATGGATAATTTGGGATGATTCTATCTAGAATCATGAGATAAGGCTTAGAATGAGCCATCAAGTAACAAGATGAAGTGAACAAAGAGCAAGTTAAACTTTCTCAGTGCACAGCTAAAGTGGACTGGATTCATCTGAGTGACATGACTACTGACTTCACTAGGTAGAAGGAAATTGTGTCTCAGGAAAGCATCATTCAACTAGAGCCACGCTTGGCGATCATGCCTCACTGCTGCTTTCTGTGAATGTGCAGAAATCTATCTTATAAGGGGGCATCCTCTGGGCTGCACACTTCAGCTTCTAAAAGAGCAGATGAACACGTGGTTCTTTTTAAGCTTCAGTTGTAGAGAAAATGCAATCCCATTGATGCAAAAGCTGTGGCACAATTCAATCTACCTGGATGATACTGAGACTCTCCTTTCTGGTGAACCTCAACATAAGTTCTGGGAGGCAGATACAGAGAACAATGATACAATCAGTGGCAAGAAGCTTGCTTAAGGACTTGGGATAGTCAGGTTTCCCTGGTGCTGTAGCTCTACACCGGTCTCCTCCTATGGCCGATGGAATCATTCTAGAAATGAGCTTATAGTTTATCAGTCCTTTGGGATTTGAAAAATTGGCTTCAGATAATCCTTGGCAAGTGGTAAAAGTTAGGTTCCCTAGCTATATTCTTCTGGAAAACTCTGACCTCATAGAAGTCATCATATATACAATACCTTGATCCATGATTCTATTCCTCACTAGACCGCAGACATCATAAGGATAGGTATCAGGGGCGCCTGGGTGGTTCAGTCGGTTAAGCATCCAATTTCGGCTCAGGTCATGATCTCACAGCTTGTGGGTTCAAGCCCTGTGTCGGGCTTTGTGCTGACAGCTAGCTCAAGCCTGGAGCCTGCTTCAGATTCTGTGTCTCCCTCTCTCTCTCACTCTTCCCTGCTCACGCTCTCTTTCTCTCTGTCTCTCAGAAATAAATAAAAAATTAAAAAAAAAAAAAAAGGATAGAGATCATAACTAGTTTCCTCACCAGTGCTCTCCACACTGTCGGAGCACAGATGCTCAGTAAAATTGGATGTATAGATAGATGGATGGGGATTGATAGATGACTATGGAAATTATTGGTTACCTACTGTAGTATAAGTTATTGCACCTACTAAGTGATCAACTTCGCTTCATTGCTTTACATAGAGTATGATTTTATTTCACCAGGAAAATTGTACTAAATTCCTTATACCTAGTTAATAGTTTGTTTCTTAATGGTCTATGATAAAATTACTATTTTTGAAACCAGTTATTTCAGGACTAGAGGAAAACAGACGGCATCTCTGAGCAAAAGAAGGGTAGAATGTCTGTGTAACTGACAATTATTTGGCTCCTCATTGTTAGAAATGCCCTGGGCTGAATTCTGTAAGGATACATTTTTTGTTCTAATTTTTAGACATAGGATCTGGTGACTAAAGGTAACTTCTGGCTATTCTGGAACTCGTAATTTCTTCAACAGGTATCAAGGCTGAATCTGACACTTGGAGTAAGCTTTCTTCTCTCTCAATAGGATCAAGACTAGATCCATGTACTGGGACCAAACCCTAGGCATTCATTGTACCTTCATTGTAAGAGGGATAAGTGAGGGTCACAGGCTGTGAATACCTTGCTTTCTCATACATCCTTCCTCTATAGGGCACAAGAAGGAACTCCATACACCCACACCACCCTCCCACACACCCTCAACACACAACCCTCACATATGTTTTGAATTTACCAGGATTAATTTCATTCTGTCCTTTATTTCTATTTATCTCAGTTGATTTTTGAACAACAAAAACACTTCTTTGTGTTTCTCATTTGTTCTCACACCACTACCATACAACACTTCAGCCACTAGATGGGTGGATTTTTTCCCACATCAATGATTTTTTCCAAGCAACACTCTGCAACACCGTCTGGGTGTCTTACAATTCAGTTCTAAACTACTAGGAGTTAACCCAGAGCCCATGAGTTAAGAACTCCCAAAAGACTCCCCCACCCAAACAACTACTTCAGATGTCAATCAAAAGTAGGAGGTCCCCAGGCTATTCAAACTCGTAACTACGCTTACAAATTTGAGGTTTCCATAACCTCCTTCCTTGGAATCCATCATTAGCTAGAATAGTTCATGGAACTCAGGGAACTAATTACTTGTGGTGACCAGTTTATTATGTAATATAGGAAATCATAAAGGATACAGATGAACAGTCAGATGAAGAAGTACATAGAGTGAGGTCTGGAAGGATCCAGAGCACAGGAGCTTTTGTTATTGTGGAGTTGGGGTGTGCTGTCCACCCAGTATGTGGATGTGTTCATCAATTTGGAGGCTCTTCTAATCCCGTATTTTTGGAATTTTGGAATTTTGTGGAGGCTTTATCATGTAGACATGATTATTAACTCAATATCTACCCCTTCTCCCCTTCCTAGAGGATGTGGAAGAGAGAGCTGAAAGTTCTAAGCTTGATCTTTCTGGTGACCGCTCCCCTTCCTGAAGGTATTAGGAGCCCACCCAGAGTCATCTCTTTAGAGCAAAGGACACTCCTATCACCCAGGAAATTTCTGAGATTTGAGTTCTATGTCAAGAACCAGGGTCAAAAACCAAATATTAGAACAAAAGATGTTCCCAGTACTGTTGTTATTTATGAAATTACAAGGATTTTAGGAGCTCTGTTCCAGGCACTGGGGGTAGAGACCAATATATGTATTTTCTATTATTTCATGTCAGTGAATACCAGAAACTCTCAGTTGACTCATTCCTATCCTTATTTGGTCCCTTGCATCCATGCCTCCACAACATTCCATTATCAGCAAGATTCTTTCTCAACTTCCTCTCTGAACTTTCCCTTTATCTTCACATCTAATGTAAGCATAATTTTCTTCTCCAGACCCTACTTCTCCTGCAGCACTTTGCCAAATGGTGGCTGTGTTTTTTTGTTGTTCTTTTTCCCCCAAGTTCTCAAGTAGCATTTGACCTGGAGGTGAGGTAGAAGGTTTCCTTGGTCCTCACTGCCAATTTGAAATTGCTCTCTGATCCTTCTCTCTAAAACCCTCCAGCTTGTATTTTATGTCAACAAATTATTAACAGCCAACAATGTTGCTGTTTTTTTTTTTTTTTTTTTTTTTTTTTTTTTTTTTTTTTTTTTTTTATTTTTTTTTTTTTTTTTTTTTTTTTTTTTTTTTTTTTTTTGCCTCTGTTTACATCTGTCCAGGTCTCTCTTCGGTTTTCAGAAGTCTGACCTCCTGGCTCATTATCCCTCTACCAGTACTCCTGTGTCAATTCTTGGTGATTTCAATATATAAATATATAATATGCACATCATCCTAGCCTCCCAGGTCCTTGAACTCAATTCCTCCACTCATCTTCCCCATCTCAGTCACTCTCTCTTAGTCATAACCAAATGCTAATTAACACCCCCTACTCCATGATCTCAATTACATGCATTTCTCCCTATGACCTATTTTTCTATTTCAGTCCTTCCAGAATGTTGATGTAAATGCTTCAAGTCCATGGGGACCTACAATTCATTGATTGTACCATCTTTTCACAGTCCCTTACCCCCTGGATATCTTCCCTAACCTCTATCTGGTTATCTGTCCCTTGCATACAACTCCCACTCTGTTGCTTCTTTCTGGCTTCTCTGTACTTGCTTAGCTACCATAAGCACAACTTGCCACCTACTCAGTTCCTGAATCTATCATAGCTGGACATAGCTTTGGTAAAATATGTAGGTGTGCTTATTGAATTAAATTTATGGCTACAGACCTCAAATGAGACCTTAGTGCTGATTGCCAATCATACTATGCAATACTTCTCAATTCTTCTATATTCTCCTAGACTATCATTTCATCTCTTCCCCCTTCCTTAAACCTCCTTCCCCCTTCCCCCCCACAACTTCAGGCAATGACCTTATGTCTGACTGAACTGAAACTTCAAGTAATGAGGAGAGCCTCCACAGATTTCCATCACTATACTCACCTATTAGAATCTGTACTTGCCTCTTCCTTACTCTTACCAAAGATGAGCACCTATCCAAAGGCTATCTTTCCATTTATTAACTAGATCTTATCTACTCTGGTCTAACACTGATTCAACAAGTCTTTCCTTTGTCTTCTACATATTTTTTTTCACTTTTATTGGATCATTCCTATCAGCATACAAGCATATATTTATTTCTCTAACTATTAGGAAAAGCTATCCATTCTCTTGACCCATTCTCTCACAGCTACAACCCCACTTTTTTCTTTCCCTTTGTAGCACTTCTCCTCAATATGGTTACCTATTCCTGCTGCTATCAGATCCTCCCCTCCTATTCTCTCTCAACCGTGTGTAAAAAAGGCTTTTCATCCCCTTTCACCAGTGTTATACAAATTGTTAAATCCAGCAGTTAATTCTCTGTCCTTAAATAACTTGAACCATTAGCAATATTTGATGCATTGGATCACCCCTTTCTCATTGATGTAATTTGCTTATGCAGGTTCTAGGACACTACACTTAAAAAAAAAATTTTTTTTAAATGCTTATGTACCCAGTGCTCTATTTTCACTCTCCCTTGTTGATTTTTCTTCAACTTCTTACATGTGGAATGTTCTAGGAGTTAGTCCTTAGTTCTCTTTTTTTCTCTATCTACTCCCTTGGTAATCTCATATCTCACATCCAATCCATACAAAAATCCTGTTTACTGTCTTAATATATCCAGAGTCTGCCTTTTCTCATCATTCCTGTTACTCCCACCCTGGGCCATGCCACTACCATCATCTGATGCCTAAATCATAGCAACAGCCTCTTACTCTTCAACTCTTGTCCTTCTATGTGTGTTCTAAGCACAATTACCAGAGTGATACGCTCAGATGTCATACTTCCAGTG